CCTGACAAATTATTCCTTTAAAGTTCAGACACTTCTATCACTCACAGAAATGAAATATCCATTAGACTTATGAGAGATCAACCTCATCTTCAGCAACTCTAAAGAGCAACCCATGAAATCTGAACAGTTCAGCTGCTACTGCATATAATCACATAAGCAGTGAAACGACCATGTTATAACTGTCCCAGATGGGTACAGCATTTCCTGAAAACTAATTCCCAGCATGTCCCAGGAGGCAGCTTACAGACAGTTACCCATTTTGTCTTTCCAAGTGGAAAGGTCACCAGAACAAACACGATCAGGAATAACGGCGAGGCAGTTCAGCTGATCTATTTTCAGCACCACGACAAAGAAAACTAATTTAGTGTTATAATTAGAAACACAGAGAGGAAAAAGCTCATTTTGGAGAAGTGCTGCTGCTGGAACGTTAGCATTGGTGCTGATGGAGCTAATCAGCTCAGAGAGGTGGAAGAGTGAAACCAAATTATACATTTGGCATCTCCATGCAAACCAGGTTTGACACTGCAATTGTCAGCAGTTGGGAATAAGTGCAAGGTTTGAAGGTGACCTTACAAGGGACTTTTTAAAGATGAGGAGTAAACAAACAGTGTTTCAGGAATTTTTTTTTAGAGCTTGAAAACCAAAACCACGTCATGATATTTTTTGTTCCTATTTGATGACTACTTTTCAAAGACTAACAGCTATTTGGGTGTAGTTCATATTTTTAAATGTGTTTCATGTTTCTGATTAATGGCTGCAAGAATAAGGTTTTTTTCAGTTTCTCCTAACTACAAGACCCATTTAACTTCTTGCAAATGGAAGTATGGCATGACTGAGCTAAAGTACACTGGAAGGACTTTCACACCTATAACATATTTCTTTTCGTTGTCTTCTCAAGAGGTACATTTGAATGTTCTCCAGGGGAAAAAAAAAGAAAAGAAAAAAAACCACCCAAAAGGAGTTTTCAATTCCAAGGCGATATAGATTGCAGGTTTAATTACACAAATCCTATTGTGTACCTAAATAGGGCCAATTTGCCTTGCATTTTCTTGGAAGTCAAACATATCTTTTTTCTGCTCTCACCCTGGTGACATTTCAGTTCCCCTTGGCTGTCTCAGTGCTGTTGTTTGTAAAGCTGTTTTGTAAAAAGGATCAATACAATGACCCAAGTTAGAAGTAATTAACCAAGAATAAAGGGAAAAAAAAAAAAAAAGGCCAAAAGCAGTGGGTCAGGTAGCTGCACAGTGAGACACAATTGGGTGACAAAGGATGTGTACTTATGGAAGATGAAGGGGAAGCAGGAGGGAAGAAAAAGTGAACAAGGAGATGGGCTATAGTGGATACAAAGAGAGACATTTTCGTTCACTGCCACCCTGTCTTCCCTCTGTATTTTGCTACCGGATTTCACATTGGATTTTCTGCCTACTGATGTTAATTTTTTGAGGTAGCCAACTTGAAGGAAAAGGCAAAAACACAGCACTATTGGAATTCCCTTTCTCAGGGTACACAGAGCAAAGGGAAGCAGAGCACTGGGATGGAAAGCCCAAACTCGAGCTGGTTAACTTGAGTGACAGTGATGCAATTCTGGTGTCCTACCATGATTCTTTGAAGCATTTTTTTCACTGCCTGTGGCTCCATACCTTCATAAGTTCCTACTTCCAGAAGGGTCCCACTTCTCTCCAACTCCAGAAACTCCTCCACAGTCAGAAAATTATAGTCCACACCAGGCACTTCTCCTTCTCTTGGAGGGCGGGTTGTGCCTGAAAGGAAACATTAGCACGTTAACATAGTTGTTTTCTTAACAGAAAAGGGACAAGAAAAAATTATCATCAAGATCCAACGGTATCTGTAAAATACAATTTGGTGAACTACACAGAGCAGTCCCTGAGTTCAGTCAGAAGGTAGGAGCCCACATAACAACAAGACAAGACATAGATCACAGGCTGAGCCAGCAGTACCAGTTGTTCCACCCAACGACAACGTTTTTGATATTCCTAGAAAGACTCTATGGCAAAGAAAACTCTCATATCACATGTAGAAACACAGCTGGAAGAGTGTGGTATCTGGGCATACACCAACAATTACTTTCCTGCACCGTCTCTCATACTTCAACTTCACTAATTGCCATCTGTATTCTCAGATAAGGCAACTTCTTTCTAGCTTCCATTATTTCTGTATCATTCATTTCACCAAATATCCTTTCACATCACAAAGATGTTTTCTCCCTTATTTCTTCTTCTTATTTTATCTCTATTTATGCTACTATTTTTTATTCAGCATTAAAATGTACGATGAGAGAGTTTTGATGCACTGTTCACATACGCTCACTAAAGAGACAACCTGCAAACTCTTCTCGCAGAAGTTCACCTATAAGCTCATGTCAGTTCGAGAAATACTTTTTTTTTTTAGTAATAATTCACACTGAATCTCTCTCAAGCACTCGACAGTTTAAACAGAACGTACAGAGAACAGGGCTCTGATCACGGCTCCTCTGCCAGCTCTGAAATTCTTCTCCCTTCTACGCCATCTACAGCCGTTTGAAGCACGGTGTGAGATGAGTCATTCAGGACTTTGTGCGGAGATGGCTTGGGCCACTGCATTCTAGGTCACTGAGCACAGCTTAATTGATCAGGATCGATTTCTGTTCAATAGCCTTTATTTTCCATGACTCCAGAGGCTAGGAGATGGCTGGATTCTGTACATCTGAGATTTTAAATTTAAATGATAGATTTGCAGGTGGTGTAGGAAACTGAACTTTAGAGGAAAGTGCAGCATCAGAGAGCTGGAGGTGGCTGAGTGCCATGGCCGCAGCCAATCTGCTGGCTTGGGAATAACTTTAGAGCTGTGGAAACCATACCTAACATTTAATGAAGCATGATTTCTCACTTCTGTGGGACTCTTCTGGCCCCTGGGCAGTGCCTTCTCAGTGCACACAATTTCTTAAACTCTCTATAAAAGGACTGAAGAAAGTTTAAAGAAGCTGAGCTTCTGGAAACTAATTGGGAAGATTCCAGCTCTCAGAAGTTGAAAGAGCATAAATTTACCATGCCCGCATCTGGCAAATGTTTTCCTCAAGTGCCAGGGAAGCGGAAAGTCTGCTTATGCCCTATTCATCTGAGAGACTGCTCAAGAGGTCAGTCTTGACAGAGTGACACCCTTGAAAGACTATCACTAGATTCATTTCCTTGATAGACATCCACTTTCTCTAGCATCCTCCATTTCTTGTTCCAAAATAGAAACTCACTTCTCTTTTTTTTATTATTTACCATCAGCCTTCAGATGGTCTATAAATTCCTGTGCTTTTTCTAGAATTTCTTCTCTCAGAGCTATGTAAATGGGTGAAGGGGGGAGGAGGATAAACAAATAAAGGGATGGAAATGACGATGGATATTTTCATCCTAGTAGGAGAATTACCCTTTCCTATTTGAAAGGATTCAATTTAATGGATATTTTCACCCTAGTAGGAGAACTACCCTTTCCTATTTGAAAGGATTCAATTTGTCATTCTTTGTATTCTTGAATCCTTACAGTAAGACTACAATGATTTTTACCGAGGAGTTCACAGCAGAGGACAGATGTCTTTCACAGATCTAGACCAGAGAAGTACTGGAACTGGTTCCCCTAAACCAGGCCCGCGAGAGGGAAGGAATAAGAACGGAAAGCCTCAGCAGTAAGTATGTCCAAAGATGCGCTGTAGCTGTCCCATGCCTGGAGCACGACAGAAATGAGAATTAGACTCTGCAGTGCTCCTCATCCAATGCATCAGTCAAACGTCACCCTGAGCCATGTGGCATGTGAGCCAAATGACAAAGATTGGGACGTACTTATTCCTGGTAACTGACAATACAGATTGGTGAGACACAAAGATCAGGGAACTTCAGGATTCATTTTACTTTATCTTTTAAAGCCGCCTTCTTTTTTTTATCTATATCTTCCCACAGAGAGTATTTATTAATCATTTTTTTTTCTTTCTGAATTTTTATAGCGGTGAAATTGCAGTCAGCAGTTTACTAGTGCTGGCTGCCTATTTGACATGACAATTATATCTCTGCCATAATTCCTCTGAGCCATTTTAATGGATCTATTTGTTTCATCTCAGTGTTCTTAATTTCCTGAATATGTTCAAACCGAAAAATTGCAGATGTGCTTGCCATCAGCGCGACTGCCTGCAACACACGCTGAATGCATTAGAAACGCCAAGTCGCCGCGTAAAAGGAAAACATTACATCACGGAGATAACATTTGTCACCTCGCGTTGGTCTCCAGCAACAAACAGAGGGAAAATAAAAACTACACTGGTTAGGATATCTTATCTGGGCAAAGGCAAAAAAAAAAAAAACCCAACAACTTTCCATTGCGCTGTCTATAGCAATGATTGCTTGCAGATGCTGGGGCTGTTATCCTGCTTCACATCTGAGCAAGTGTTAGTGAATGCAATTCAGAAAGGCAGGGGGAAGGGAAAACCCGCCTCCGTTTTTTTTGTAGCAGAATGACAGGCTGCCGGCTGGACACACGCCTGGCAGATGGCATTTCAAAGAGTTTTCATGAACCATCTGGGATGTGTACAATGATTACAAACCACGCTTACAACAAAACCAGAAGGGTTGCTTCACAAGGAGGGTGGGGGGAGAGGGCTGGCGGAAAGAAAAGGGGAAAGAAAAGAAAACTAAGAGGTGCATAAGCAAACTCCATGACTTTTCTCAGGGACAGGACACTAAGAATAATCAGCACCTTCCACCCCGAGCCCTTCCATGGCCTGAAACAAATGCTCGATTACTGTGCAGCATGTGTGTGCACAGCCCCACGCCACGGCAGGCTGCAAGCTACCGTTGGAGCTTTCTGCTGATAAACTCCAAATTGTAATTAAGTCTGCCATCATTAATGTGACTTAATTATGGGCAAAGTATAGTATGTCTTCCTTCCCTTTTTAAATTGCCTTTAGTATCCTTACCACAGGATGGTCAGCACTGAAGGAGAGGGCTACACAGATGACTGTTCACTTTATCAGAGCTAATAGCAGACGAGACCGCTGCTAATGGCAGAATTAATTGAGCACAATAAGTGCCCAAACAGGAGTTAAGATACTCCACTGGAAAAGGCGAGCCAATCATATTTAAATACGTTAACCTGCCTGTCATGTTTGCACTGAAATATTAAGTGGCATCAAATCTTATTGCCATGAGATAGCAATTTAGCTAATTAATTTGAGGTATGTCCCACTGTGCGACTAGCTCAGAATTGCTAATGCTACAAGAAGAAGGAGCTGGAGGAGCAACCGAGTGGTTACCGACTCCTTCTGCAGTTCAATAGTTCCTAAACTTCCACTCCTATATGGCTAGAATGCCCCACAACATATAAAACTATGTCAGAGACATTAAATTCACAGGAGAATTGCTCAAATCTTCTGCAACCACAGCAGACTTAAGAAAATAAATAAATAAAAATAACGCTACTGGTTAGCATTGCAGGTTTTACTTTCTCTCTTGGTCTGGGGAGGTAAAACTACATACAACATGGGAGGCCCAGACACTAACATTTGCCCAGCTGTTGGTTTGGTTATCACACTCAGTTGGTTAATGCACCACTAATGCTTGGGCCACAGAAGAAGGATCTCGTCATGGGCTGGAGACCCCACCTGAGAAACTGCTTACACACACAGGTGAGTTTGCCCAAACAGAGCCCAGTGCTGTACTTAGACTAACTAAATTAAAGCTTTCTGTCCATGCCTAGAATAACTGGACGGTAGCTCAGATGTACTGATAACTATCAACTATCATTCTGAATAATTTAAGTGCCCATTTAAAAGACAAATAGCTGCTGCTGTTGTGTTGCCTGTCAACCACACTGACAATTACCCAACACGAGCCTCAATTATAGTATGGCCAGATTGCTAATATGTGATTCAGGGGCTGTTTAGCTCCTTATCAATCTACCAGGGCCTCATGTTAAGCTGTTAATAGCCACTGATGCCCTGCTGTTAAATTAATCAGAATCTTGCTTATTGTAATCTAAAATTAAGACTTCAAAGGGGCTGTAGTCACTTCAATTACTTCCTTGTTAAAACAAAAACAGTTTTTGAGCAGTAATTCTGTTATCTTGCACCAAAACAGCCCCTAGCAAGTCACTTAGAAGCTGACTTCTCAAGTGCAGAACACCTACACCTCCTATTTGCAAAGCAATGATTTCTGCAAACTCCTTATCCCATCCCACTGGCTGGCAGCGATAACCTGGTGAGCCACCAAAACATAGCTGATCAAACCACAAATCATTTGCTTCTCATCTCCACTGACCAGCTTCTCTTAAAAGCATAGATAGTGTGAGAGTTGTATGCTCGGAGTAATGATATTGCTTCAACCATATTTTATGCAATCTCATGTCACTGGTGGTTACCAACAGTGAATGGAACTAGAGTAAATAAGGTTTTAGTGGGAAGTGTACAGGGATGCCACTGACTCACAGCTGCAACACCAAGTGCTGGTGTGGGGGTTTGCTGAGAGGCTGTTTGCCGGCAGGTCAGAAGGAAGGATGCTGTCCCTGCCATTGCTCTCGAAGACTGATATTTTTGTTCATTCAGCAAGAGAGTGCTCTTGTCGTCTACACTGAAAAAAGTCTTCAGCTGCCAAGAAAGAAACATATTAGGAAAGAGCCCCTCTTCCCTCTGCACAGTGTTTAGAGGTCACCTTCTTCCCTCATGTCACAGGATAATCTGGAGAGCCTGCTTTGGCTCTCCTGCATCTGCCACCTATGGTGCC